GTATAATTCTTGCTGCACAGAATGCAGCTAATACTTTTACTTTACAAAATAAGCAACCTCAGATTAATTGGATAATAAAAGCTTTGCTATGCTTGTGTTTTTCTCCTTTTGATGCTATTACCAGAAGACTGAGAGATAAGCTTTATTTGTTTGGAGATATCTAGAGTAATATTTTCAACAATAAGCCCCCGAAGATCAAATATGCATGTCTCCAATTTTTTTTGTGTAATATATGTGACCTTTCTCCCTTAAAATCCAGATTATCTAGAATGATGTAATTGTGGAAATCAGAAGATGATCGAAGCAGTGATGCTTTAGAACACATTAATACAACTTATATTTGCTTTTTAATAGGTAGTACTTCAGGTATTTCTGCTTCTCTTTGCTGCAGCATACTGATGGTGATATGAGTGGGTCAAAATAGAACAGAATGCAGCTGACAGACTAGCAAGAGCTTGAAGCTTTTGCATATTTACTTTTCCAATGCAGTCAATGAATCCCCTTAAGGAATGGAATTGAAATGAGAACAGTCTGGCTCTAAACTAACTATATATCACTTTGTTGCTGTCACAAGCTATTTCCTCGTGTGACAGTTCAGAGTTCAAATTGAAGGCCTATGTGGAAAATCAGCCCAAAGTGTGGAGGGTGTTGAAATGCAAAAGTGAGGACTGGACCACAATACAGTCTTTTAAAAATCCCCGTGGTAGTTTTTTAAGAAGATAGGGAAAACAAATTCTGAAGGTCTAGCTAAGCTCAAATTTGTTTGATGCTTTTATAATATTCCAAATTCTACAATACAAGGTTTTATTCTACAGTCTTAATGCAAAGTACAGATTTATCATGCAGACTTAAGCAAAGGAGATCTTGTGTTACTGTGTTGTCCTTACAATGGCTGTCAGCATCTCTGGGTTTGTAATGGTTTCTTATTTTTCTTGATTGCCATTTGGATACATACCACTGTGACCTACTTTACAGGGTCATAGTCAAACAGGATTTCTGGTCTCTGTGATTAAACCTTTGTGGTCTCTCCTTAATAAATTAATTGCTTGTGCTTTCTTCTTGCTCTTCATTTGTTTTCTGACCTGGAAAGTGAAAGCACATTTCCACATTCTTATAGTCTATTGGAAATTGAATATATTCAACCAGACTGAAATCCCTGCAAAAAGAAGATTCTCCCTAAAGGGTAAGAGTTCCCCAATCTCGTTATTGCTGTGAAGTTAAGTAGAGTTTGGTGCAACCTATAGTTTAGGGGCCTAATTGTGGACTTAGCTTTCTAGCTAAGAGTCAGAGACTCCCTCTGTGATTATGTAAGAGGAGCTTTGCTGGCACTTGCTTAGGGGCAGTGTCCTGATCAAGAAACTAATAAAGCCACTTGAGATTTTCAGTCGTTTGGAAACTGATCCTTTGTGTTGCTGAATGATTTTGGTTGTGTAATCTTTTTGGGTGTTGAAGATGCATGCATGCTGTAAAGTGCAGATTCAAAATGTGAAGGCCTAGTTGTGCAAATTAATTCTGTCTTGCCCAGCTTATAGCTATATTTATTTTTCTCACAGATGGCTCCTGAATATCTTATCTTAAAAAGTTTCTTGAGGTAGTTATGTGTACCATGCTGAACTGTAGTGTTGCTTTGGAACTCTGCAGGCTTCTCTCCTGCTAGATAAAAACTGGGGAAAAAAGACCTTGAAAATAATTGTTCCATGAATTATGCCCTTTGATGGCCACCGTACCATCGAGTGAGTTCAGGAGCAGGCATGGTAGGTTTTGGATTCATTTTTCCTGTCTCAGCACGTAGCTATTTAATGTAGGACAGTGTGACTGTAATGTGTTGCTAACAGTACTGAATTGTGGCCATCCAGTGCTCAAGTCTAAAGCCATCTCTTCTGTAAATCATTTACTGAATTTATTGATGGTCAGCTTTTAGTAGCTATGCAAACACACGAGTTTGGTATTTCCTGTTAAATCTGAATAAATACAAAGTATTTTTACGTACATAGACACATACACAGGCAAAAGTACTGACACATATGCAGTATCACGTTTGGAAGTTGTCTTACATTTGCAAAAGCAGGATTCTGTGGTGCTTTTGTATTTTCTAGACTAGCTTAGCTGTGGTTTACAAAGATACCATCTTAAATGTCAACGATGAAAGGCAACCGGGCTTCAAGTTTGAAATATAGGTTAAGGGTAAGCAGGATAACTGTTGCAGATGAGCAGCTTCTGTGTCGGGTGGGACAGTGTCTGCAGACAGATTCGGGCAAATGTTACAATAGAGCAACCATTTAACCTTGATGTGAACATTTCCTGCAGTCCCCATTTCTGTAGACAACATCTCAAGAGTAGACATTCCCAAAACGATGTGAAAGATGTGCCTAAAATTAGTTATGGGTTTTTAATCTTAGATAAACTTCGTGTGATGTAGCCAATATTTTGGCCTTGTGGAGTCTATTTTCCATAGCTTGAAGGGTATCTTAAACTGAGGGAGAACTATCGTGATGGGCAGCTTATTTGCTTAACTTCCTTTGATAAAACAGGAATATGTAGAGTGAATCTGCAAGACAGGATTCTAGCAAAAATGCTAGTGTGCTTAGCCAGAAAGCTTTCACAATGGAGAAAAAAAATAAGTGTGTGTTGCTACATTGTTTCAACACTTTTGGCAGTCACTATACAGATACAAAGTGAGTTATGTTTCTTTTCTTTCTTTTCCGTATGCTTTTTTTGCCATCATCTTTTGATCGAAGCAAAAAAGTAACAATCTGTGTATTATTCTAGAGATTAAGATTCTGCATCCTTCCTGCTTGCCTAACAGTAGTTCTGCTTCTGTGTGGTGAACTTCATAGTGCCCATAAGGGTTTAAAAAATGTATATGTATTGTAAGGTTAATACTCATTTCCAGAGAAAACAGTTCACATGCTTTATTATGAGCTTATCTTAACTAGTGATTGCATGCTGCCTCCTAGCCAGTATTATCATTTCAAATATCAATCTTCAGCCCTAGACGATGCTCTCCAGATAATTTTCTTTTCCCTTTACATTTAACTGAATTATACTGACAGTGGTGGTAGTATTATTCCTCACCTTGTTATTACTACCTACAGAGATCTAAAGCTTAAAGAATGACACAAGAGATTAGGTTCTTGTTTTTAAGTTTTCTTGATAAAGCAAGTGATGATCCAGTTAATGAGGTTCACTCAGAAACAGGTATGTTCACATATCTGTTAAACAGCCCCTTTAAATACAATGGGACTACACACACTTGGGTGACCATTGGACATTGTGGAATGTGTATTCTGCAATTACTGATTGTCTTTCAAGTGTTGCACTCATGTTTGCTGGATTTTTATGTAAGGGAAGGGCTTCCTGCCAGGTTCTCCAAGTTAATAGCTGTACTTAGACTCCAGACCTGTCTTCATTCAGCAGCTGTTGTTACAGCAGGGCTCTGCTCTTTGTTCATTCACATCCTCACATGGCCAAGTTGTGGAAAAGTGAGTAATTATTGACCTTCACGTGATAAAGTTTATAGAGGCTTTGTTTTCTGGAGGAGGTAGAGGGAAGTGAGTTAATATGACACACAAACTCAGGGTCCAAATATCAAACTGCTCAATTGCATAAAAGATCAGTTCTTAGAAGGCTTTTGCATGTCTTTGCATTTCCCAATACTTTATTCTCTTTTGTGCTAAGGGTAACTTGTATCTCCTCTTCAGCTGAATGGTTTTATTTATTTGTGTGTAAAAAATATTATTATTACTATGCACGCATAGTTGTGTGTGTATGGTCTTTGTCCAAGTTGGTGTGAAAGCAGATGCATTTCTGGTTCATTCAGAGCTGTAACAAAATACTGTTAATCAGCAGATTTTAATTAAAGAGTCTCTGCTTCTAATTAAGTAAGGAGGGCTCAATTACCACAGTAGATCAGTAGATTCTGTGAGGCTCTAAGTACTGTCTGTCTGTTGATTTTCATGGCAAATGACAAAAATCTTGAAAAATTGTATTCTGTATTTTTAATAAAAGTTGATGTTGGGAATAGAATAAAACTAGTCCAGAATCAAGAACTTTGTTTTGAGCCTGCTGGGGTATCCCTGACTCTTAACACCCTCTGAAAATTGGAGAGTCTTGGGCACATCCTCCAGCATTATGCAATGCAGGTGACTGCGTCCTCTTTCCTAGGAAATGCCTACAGTCCTAACAGCACCCAGCTGACGGCAGAGACTGCTGTAACAGTATTTTGATAGTCTGTAAAATGTGGCCACATCAATATTTTTATGTGGAGCAGCGTTGTGCACTTAAAGTGAGTCTCTGTATTATTTCTGCCTCTGTGCTGTGCTTCACAGGTTAGGTTTTGTGTGTACTAAGTATCCTTCTGAGGAAGCTCAACACTTCGTGTGCACCAAAAGCATTCCGGTATCTTATAAGAGTTTGAGTCGGTGGCTGGGTTGCAAATCCAGGTTCCTACAACAGCTGCTGAATGGGCATGGACCAGCAGAAGGGACTCAACATTTTAGTTGTCAGCACTGCACCCTGAAATGCTTCTTAGCTTATGCGAAGGACCAAATGGTGTATGCATGTTGTTGCTGTGTACCTCTACCCTTTGGCTCTTTGCAGTTTTCACCTCCCTTCTCAAGTGAAACCTCTCCTTACTCTCTTTCCCTGCCCTTCATTTCATTCTGGCAGTCACCCCAGCTGAATCCTTTATCTGCCAAAGCACCAATGCAAGCCTGTTTTTCATTCATATCCTCCCTTTATCCTGCTTGCAGTGATAAGTGTCAATGTTTTCACACAAGTGGGTTGAATGTGGCATGATCTGGAGCCCTAAGGCAACAACGGCATCTGCTGTAGGTAAGAAAGCAGCAGGATACCCAAACTATATGGAAACACCAGGAAGTTTCTAATGTAAATTTGGTAGTTCCTGGGCTGACAGGGCCGAGCATAAATGTTGCGTAAAGTTCAAGAAAATGAAGGACATGTCCTGGCTCCCACTTTTACATTCATGTCCTGTGTTTCAGAGTTTCAAATGGGAGAGTCTTGGCAAGAGAGAAGTTCATGCCATCAGTTTGCAAACCCCATCCCTGAACTCTACAGAAGAGCTTTGGGAAGAGAGTATCTACATAGGAGCAACTTTTCTCCTGGCTTGCCTCCCTGGTGAGTATCAGTGACCCCTTAATTCAGGTGCAGGTAAGAATGCTGCTTTCTATGCATTTCCTTTCAGTGTGGGATATCTGTGCATGGAGTTTCTGATGAAATGAAGGCATTGGTCTTGATTCTGAGAAGAGGCAGCGAGTAATTGCTAGTCTGCTTGCAAGAACTGTATTCCTCTAAAAGCAATTCCCTGTGAATGTGAGAGAAAACTTCCACGCACTAACTACTCAAAGCAGTGCTCAGTGGCTGCCTTGCCAATGTGCTTAGCTTTGTGCTTGTGGCAAGTACACCAAGCATGCTCTGTGCTTTGTTAACCCACATTTCTGTGATTTCTGTGTGAGAAGAACACTGTGTGGGTCTTCTCTTTGCCAAAAGCAGCAGCTGGTACAGCACATGGTGCCAGACACCAAAACGCTTTGAATCCTGTCCCACAGGTAACATGCTCATGTAGAACTTAGAAAGATTGCCAATACTTGGTTGTAAGAAAGCAGCAAATGTAGCAATTGGTCATGGTCATTTTCTTCCCCTAATGCTGTCAAAGTTCAGGTAAACAAGAGAACTCTGGCACTGAGGTTAAGAGTCTGTGGACTAGAAGCTAAGAAAGCTTATTCTTGTACTTCTTCCTCTATTTATTTTGTTATTGATCATTTTAACTCGCATCTTAGAGTTTACATCACATTTTAAGCTTTTCATGGTGGACGTCACCTTCCACGGTGTTTGTGTACTTCATTTACTGTGGAGTTTCTCTGACCTTTGCTAAACTTCTAAGGCAGATGCTAGAATATGAACAACAATTCAAGTTGTTCTTCTGTGCTGAGATAAACTCCAAAATTTATTGTAGGTGATGGCATGCGTGTGAGCTGTTATGTACTATGTTTCAGTTTAGATGCAGAAATGATTTTGGAACTGAGTCATGTAAAAGCAGGTAAAATTAAATAACTGTATGCTATCACAAGAAAAAGAAGCCCTTTCCACATTTCCAGATATTATTTGAATGTTGTGCTTGTGCATCATGAACCACATATATAGAAATGTCCTCAAGGAAGTGTAGTATATCTTTTTATAAATCAGTTTAAAATAAGAGGTGCATAGAGGTGCAATATTTTGAGATTTTTACTGCTTAGCATTTGTTGGACTTCACTGAGAGTTAAGAAGAGCTGAGTCTAGTCATAATTTATTGTGCTTAAGAGAAAAATAAAAATTATCATGTTTGACAAAAGGTGTTCATTTGTCCTGTTTACATTAAAAAAGGCAAAATTAGGCAACCTCTTAGGCATGGTGCCTCTTTGAGACAGATTGTATCCGTAGATGCATCTTGGTTATTAACAGAGAAATGTGTTTGGAATTAAAGCAGAGAGCAATTTGATAATTTTAAATGAAGAGGTTGAGATTTGAGTCTAGTGGTTCTAGAAAAATAAGGATGGTGTGAAATTGCTGCTAAACCTTTGGTGTGGGTAGAAGGTGTTAATGCATACTGAAGAGTATAGTTCTTCTCTATAACTATGGGTTTGTTAGAATAAAATCCATGGCCAAAAGACTGCAAAATTTCATGTTTATATCTGAACGTGGTATTTTTAAAAAGAAGTTTCATGCAGTGATGTGTAGTCGTTCCTAAAGTGAAAGGAAAGAAATGTGAAAAACGTTCAGCATGTCAGATTGATAGGTTAATAATGTGTGCATTTTGAATATAAATTTCTGCAAATGTATTATTGAACAAGAAACAACAAAGGTGTGGGTTTGTGAGAAGTAATCTAACTGCATATACTTACAGCTTGGAGACCTTCACTCTGTAGCTTCCTGTTGTGTGACCTTCAGCAGTCAATTCACTAAGTTCAACAGTCACTCTGTTTTGGGATTTCTGCTTTCCTTCTTTTCCTTTCTCTGTCCTACTTAGCTTGTAAAGTTTCCTAACTAGGGACTTGTCTGCACCTGTGCTTTGCTTTGACCACATAACACATATTAAATGTAAAATTTAATGGTTCAATGTGGGATTTCAATACAGCTTGGTTAATAGCTTGAAATATTCCATCTTTCCGGATATTAACACTTCTGCTATGTACTTCCAGATGTATAATCCTAACAGATTTAGTCAAACAGTGAATAAAAGATTTTGCTTGATAGGAGCTCACAAATCACCGGTTCTGCATTGTTCCTGTCCCACTTTGCTGTGATCTCATATACAGTTCTCAGAAATAAAGGCAGTTCAAGGTTCCGAACTTGCAGGTCACAGTGTAGTATGAAATGTTGTCTTGCAGAAAAGTATATGCACCATGACACAGTAGTTGTATGCTTATAGTCAGCATTTCCTTTGGAATATTTCTTGAAGTATCTAACATGCAGTTCATATTCCTGCAAAAGAAGGGATAAATAAGCTGATGACTTCTAAGTGGAAACTACGTAGTCCAGTTCACATGAGACATGTGTGTAATATTTCTGTTATTGCTTTCTAATATAAGTCTTCAAATTGGCTGCATGTATTCAGTCATTTCAACCTTCCAGTTATTTGGTTCTATCCGATGCTTAAGCTTTCCTCGTAACCCGTTGGGGTAACTGTTCAAATGAATGAAAAGACCAGTAAGTTGCTTTTTACATTTGCTATTAAAACAGCAGTATCAAAGGCCTGATTCTGATGCCATGAAAGCTCTGTGTAGCAAGTGTAAGTAAAGACACTTAAAGGATTCGGCTGTGCAAATTTCATTCATGTGATTCTTCAGACTATGAGGCCAGCCATAAGGCAAGTTTTTCCATTTAGTGTCATAGGAGTCCACCGAACACTGGCAACCAAATATAGCTCTAAAGAATTGGTGGCTTGTTTGCTTGTTTGTTTGTTTTTTTAAGTACAAAGGACAGCTTTGTTCTAAGGAATTTAGTCAGGGGACTTCATTAATGTTGTATGCAGCATGAATTTGCCTCCTGAAACATACAGCTATCACTCTAGATTGGCTTATCTGTATGATTACAAAATTATTTATAATGTATAGATGTACCTGCCTTAATTTTGCCATGAAAGGTAATGGGAGACAAAAGAATGAAGTTTGGATTTAATGCCAATGAGTTTAGTTCACTGGACTGAAGCAAGCGGTTGGACTTGCATCGTTCAAATCACTGTTGACATGATTCTTCCCTTTTCTGTCACGTTTCTTATGGATATAGTTGAGACAGATTACCCCCCAGGTTTAGTCAAGATTATAGTATTTTCTGTACTAATAAGATAGCATTTACAATTAATTCTTGGGTTCTGCTCATCCACACTTGTATGAGGTGCTTTTTTGAAAGCACTCAAGGTCCAAACGGTAAGTTGGCTTTTTCTCATGACTGAAGATTAAGCTTCATCCATAAATTTACCCAGATTAAGAGATCTCACAGTAGAAATAGAAGAATACTGCCACAGTAATTTCAGTGTAATCTTACTAAAGATTGAGACAGAATTGAAACTTGAAACAATTATATGCCAGCTCTTTATGCCAGAAGTAGAACATCTCTCATCCGCTACTATAAATTATTTCCTGGCCTATAAAACTATCTTGAATGGAAAGTATCTGGTGAATTGTCAGTGAGATCACACTTTCCTGTGAACATTATTTGCATATATTTAATGATTTTCTGATTTTCGTGACAGTAAAACAGTAAGTTTATGCAAGCAGGCCTAGAGTCTCATCATCATGTGTTTAGTCTGTACTGCTTTTCCTCCAGAAAAAAGAATGTTGTCCTCCAGATCTGGATATGATTTGATGCGTATACTGTTACAATACTGTTGTACACTTTAGTGCCTACAAGACTCTAAAAGAAACACCAAATGGTCTGATTCAAATCATGTAAGAATAATTGCACCAGAATTCTTGTAGCTTATGGTCATCTTAATCAACTGATAGTGTTCCCCCTGAGAAGTGTAAAGAAATGCTTTGCCAAAACTCATCTTTAAGCTTCCTCAGGTGTGTAAAGCAATACCTTTGACTTCAGTATGCCCCAGACAGCAGATAGGAGAGAACAAGCGAAGTTATTTGAAGCATACTGCTGCACAGTCTTTTGACACCAAGCCCTTTTTTGGCCATAACCATGAACAGGCATCCATGCTTGTCAGTGCTGATGGCTGCCTGGCTCACTGAAGCATTTTAATCTGTGGGCAAATTTGCACTTGCATGAACTTCCTGTTGCTGCCTAGCTAAGCCATGAAACATTGTTGCTGTCTCTGATGGGATATCCTTCAACAATTCTTCAACCTCTTCAAATCCTCTAGTGACTAAAACATGTTCTGGTGCAGTTTTTCATTTCAAAAAAGTAGGGGGGAAGGGGGGAGGAACTGGTAATAAAATTCTGATTTGGCAATTATTTTTGCTGTAGTGGCTAGAACCTGTTTTTGTCTTGAAAATCCATGTAGATGTCAGTTTGAGGTTTGGCCCTTATTCAGATTTTGTGTGAGTGTTCCAGGTACAGGTTGTTGGTGTTTTTGTTTTATTATTTTTTAAACAGAAGTGTAGTATTCACTGGAGACAATATGAAATTGGTATAAAGCTTCCTTAGCTTCTTATAGCTTTATCCTGTTCCCAAACTCTCTCAAGATATTATGGCAAAAGTTCAGTATTATATTATTGCCACTCTGTCCTCATTTTGTTTGACTGGAGGTTTGCTGAGAATTACAGCATGTGTTAAATGGTGAACTTCTGCATCTACGCAGTGACTGAGGCTGTCAAGCTGGCGTGTCGTAAAAGAAACCTAAGTGACTCTGGTTACATAAAAATTCCCTTCTCAGCATAACCAACACTAGTTTTGCTCACACTGTACTATTTAAGGAAAAGGAAGAGGTGATCTTTTTGTTTAATAGACTACATGATAAATTTGTGCTTATTCAGGACCTGAAGAGGGAATGCAACCTAACAATAGGCATGTATTAGCCAAAAGCAGTTAAACGAAAAACCACACACACAAAAATACACAAAAAAGAACCCCACACCTAACTGATTTGCAAAGTTCAGTGCTTAAATTACAAAATTAAAGATGTCTCT